GGACCAAAGTTAATAATTTTAAAAGCTGAAGGTTAACTCCGGGCTAACTCTGTCATCGGGACGTCAATCTCCTCAGTGCCCCGTGACCGGGCGTCGGGAATTAAAATAATACTACTGGGAACAAAAATAAGTTAATTAAACGCGATAGAATCCGTAAAGGTAGTTTTATTCAATCTCTCTCTCTCTCTCTCTCTCTTTCTCCCTCTATCTCTCTCTATCTCTGGGTTTGTAACAATTTTGGTGATTTTTATTTTACACGTTGTTTTTAATTGTTGCGCAGTTTTATTAAAATACGTTTTATTTACGTATGGGTCTATTCACTTTTATTTTTGACAAGGAATATTGGACCATACCCCTTAGAAAATAATGACAAAAAAAGATTTCTTTCACCGTATCTTCTCCGGACAGAGGAACCTATGGGTTTATAATATTATAGGTTCATGGGGTCTCATTTTCAAACAGTAATAGACGATTGACAAACGAAAATAAAAATATTTATGTCGAAAAATAAAAGATTCCATTTGATTTCATACCCCACGTTGATGATTCCACGTGGAGTCCATATTATCTATGGCCGATTCATTGCGCTATCTGCACTTCTCGTGTGATTTATATTCTGACTGACATTAATAGTGTCGCTTGGCCTTATCATAGGCTTTGTGTTAAGTTTATCTTGACGTTAAGTTCATTATATTATTTTGGAACGAAATAAGATAATAAGATGACGTATTACCATAACTGCCACAAATGGCAATTATGGTGAAGGAAAAGGCATTTTAAATATCTGATGAATTACAAACGAACGCATTATATATGTTATGGACCCAGGGCCAGATTAACCATTAGGCAGAGTAGGCAACTGCCTAGGGGCCCCGCATCGCCTAGGGGCCCTGCGCGCGCACAAAAGTAATGGAAAAAGTTTCATAGAGTGCGTTTTGGCGATGCATGCTGTCAGGTGATGAAATATACTTACAGAACTAACCACAGATTTAGAATATACCTATACCTACTATCCTAAGTTTAATCTTATTATTAACCCTTATCCCAACTAATTTCATACTTACAGAACAGAATCATCTAGTATCGAGTAGTAGAACTAACAATATTGATGCGTTACGTAGCGTATTGTATGATATGCAAAAGTTTTGAAATGCTTGATCTGTAATTGCGTTTTGTGGGTTTTGCGACCGTGAATGAATTTAATTTAAAAAGATTTACTCTGCTCTGTTTCAAAACTTATGAATTTGGATATAAAAGTGCTAGATATTTATATACTTAAATCAATGTTATAAAATTGATATAAAGACATGCGAGAGGCAAGACTTACAATAATACGTCAAATATGTCCGGTACTAATACCATAGTAACGGTCTTCAGGCCCATATTAAGAAAATAAATAATCTCGCACACTACGTTCGAATACAAATCGTTTACAGTAAATTTCTGAGGAGTTAAGCATCATCAGTCTGGTGATGCTACTGATGCTATTACACATATACCTTCACGCTGGCTGGAAAGGGGCCCCAAGAATTGCATTGCCTAAGGGCCCCGACTGTATGGACCAAGTGATTAATAGGGCACCCATTCATAAAAATTAAAATTCATAAATTAACTGCTGAATAAACTGGGATAAAATATGGATATTATTATATTTTAAAGGGTGCATCTATGAAAAAAGATTGGCCCATACTAGATACCACTTACTATGGGACAGTAATAAAAATAGCCCCCTTTCCTATCTTTGAAGGCCGTCTGGGTAAGTACCTTTTTTATAGCATAGGGTGACAAACGAGCACACAGTCCAAGTGGACTCTGTGGCCCATGGACATCTACATTTATCCTCAATTAAGAATCCAAATGCAGATTCGTGGACACACTTGAGGAATAAGATGAAATGCCTCGTTTTCAGTAAATAGGGTCTCCGGTTCTCTACACTCACCATACGAAACACAGCAGCATTAAGCTGCTATTTTACGTTGGTATTCTGTAAGGTGGTTCTACCCCGGTCGAGCCGACCTATTCGTGCCACACCCATAATACAGCTGCAGCGTTGCTCTACCACGTTAAAAATCTCCACCTTCTTACATATTTCTGCCACCAAATATCAATTCTTGCTCTGTTCCTGTCGAAACACTACTGACAGTCAGTATAATTACAAGATGTAAGGCATTCGACGTAAAAATAAAATTCATACAATTTCATCAAAGACAGCTTTACTTAGAAAAAGTGTTTTCGGTATCTTATCTAAAATCTACAATGAAGTTCCATCTGTTTCATGAAATTTCTAATTGAGAAATGTAATTACTTAATTAATGATTTCCGGCAACGCATTTGTAATTCCCTCCCTGGCGTTGCAGTTGTTCATGGGCGGCGGTAGTCACTTACCATCAGGTGAGCCGCATGCTCGTTTGCCCCCTCTCCTATAAAAAAAATATGAATATTTAAGCGAGGCATCATTAGGCATATTATAATGATATTGCATTTTTTTTACATTCGATTAGACTGTTTATTGTTAATATCTTAATCTATTTATTAGTTTCATTCTATTATAAAATAAAAATAACATAATGAAATAATTTAATTGTAGAAATGCAGAATATTATTTATTATAGGGTTGACTACAGCAAACATCCTATGTTACACCGACTTCAAAAACGAGGAAGTACTCAATTCGACTGTATGTTTTTTTTATGTGTGTTACCTTATAACTTTTTACTGGGTGAACCGATTTCGATGATTCTTCTTTTATTTGAAAGCTGGTGCTTCACCTGTGGTACCATATTAATAATTTGATCAAGGTCTGACCAATAGTTTTGGAGTTATTCTTAATAATTTATATTGAAGTCGGTTGTACAAAATTTTTAATTTTAAATTATTTAAAGATCTATTCTGTCTCATTATTCTGTATTCACAAATAAATAAAATTCAATTTGAATTTGAGTTTAATCTTAGTCCTCAAAGTGACAACGCACCTGTAGCCTTCTTTGTTTAAAGTTAACTGCAGGTGTCTGCAGACTGCAGTAGCCACTTGCCGACATGTGAACAGTTCACAGTCTGTAAGTTTCTTCGTTACTTGTTTAATAAAAAAAAAAACTTACTAAGCTGTGATGTGGAGTTTAGGAACAGCATACTCTTATACATTATCCAACTGTGAGGTTTGTGTTGGACCTATGTAAAAGGATTTTATCTGTTGAACGTAATTTTACGTTTTAGTCACGATGCTAGGTATTTACTTCAGCACTGTTATAGAATACCAGTGTAAAATAGCAGCTTAATGCTGCTGTGTTTCGTATGGTAGTGTAGAGAACCAGAGACCCTTTTACCCCGTATATTACTACCCGGGTATCAACGCATCTGCATTTTGATTCTTAATCGCGAATAGATACAGTTGTCTATGTGCGACAGCATTCACTTACCATTACGTGGATTGTGTGCTCCTTTGTCATCTTTATTCTATAAAAATGGTGCCTATGGTCCAGAGTATTCACTTATCAAAGCCAATTTTTGTCCAAAGACAATATTTGGTTTTTATGTCTGTGTTGTGATTGTTCTCATTTCTCTAATAATGCACCCATCCAACGTTACATCAAACACGAGTTGATTAGTTAGTTAGTCAGTCAGTGAGATATCTTTATCTATACGAATAAATAAAATTGCAGTGTCTGTTTGTAATGTCAACATTACAGCTGTCTGTTTGTTCCGGTTAATCTCCGAAACGGCTGGACCGATTTTGACGGAACATTCACCGGCAGATAGGTGATGCTATAAGGAGTAATTTAGGGTACTTTTCTTTTAGAAAAATGGACACGACACACCACGATACGTGATTTGCCTCTAGACGAGGCATACTTAGGTGAAGTAGCCTCTGCGTAGAGTCTACTTGTGGTGGCCTAGTGTGGTGGTGCTGGGGATGGTAGTGCTGGGATTGAAGGCGACGGGTATAGTGCGCGCGATTAAGGGACTTAAAACTGGGCAGGACACATCATTTTCTTTCTTTACGCGGAATTAAGCAAATAAATTTATAACAACCCCATTAAGTTTGAAGCAATTTCTGACTCTTTAGGGTCGAGTAATTACTGGTATAACTAGTTTGTGCTTGATCCTAGTATTTATAGAACGTACATCACTATCTACTAATGTAGTTTACCACGTGCTCGGCGGTGAAGGAAAATATCGTTGGGAACCCGCATGTCTGAGAAATAAGAAAAAAAAGGATTTCTATGAATTGTGAAGTTCGCCAACACGCATTGGGTCAGCGCGGCGGGCACTTCTTTGCCCTAAAACCCTCGCAGAAATGTAAGGAGGCCTGTGCCCAGCAGTGGGACGTATATAGGCTATAACGTTAACTTTAACATCACTATTTTTAATAAAATTATTTTTGTTTTTGTGTAAATTAAATTTTCGTTAATATATTGAGAGGTCAAAATTAATATTATTTCTTTAAAAAATCTTATTATTTAATTAGTTTCTTAGTTATAGACTGTGTATATGGTAATACTGGGATATTTACATAATACGTTACATACGAGAAGTTATTACCACCATCCATCAAAGGCTACCTGGTCTTTATTTTCTTTTCTACAGTCGCCTCTTACGAAATTTCTTACACAGCATCCACTTTATGCTGAAAGTTGAGCTACATTATAAAGTAGTTAAGGGTTGAGCTACCATAAATATACTAACGGATTAGTAAGCTGAAGTGGTAATGGGCCGGCCATATATGTAGATCAAAGAACCGACAACCGATGGGAAAGAAAGGTTCTCGAGTGGCAACTTTCTACCGGTAAGGGAAGTGATTGGCGGCCTCCACTAGATGGAGTGACTGCTTTCAATATGCAGGAAATCGATGTATGCAGATGGCTCAGGACCGTGTTTTGTGGCATTCCTTTGGGGGAGGCGTATGTGTAGCATTGGACTTGTGAATGATGATGCTGATGGAACATACTGAAAGTATTGTTTTTTGTTTCAGATTATAGCACTGATTTGAGTGCAAAATCAAAATGTCGGCGGCAGTGGAAACCTTCGCAGTGGGAGACGCACAGGTGAACGGACATGGATCAAAACTCAACGGGTCAACTACACAGGTCAACGGCGCTTCGAACGCTCAGTTAAATGGATCGTCTCAGTTGAACGGATCAGGCCAGCTGAACGGTTCTGCGTCTACTCAATCGAGTTTATGGGACGCGCAGTTCTTACCACCACCTTTAGTTTTGGAAGATCGCGCGCGAGCCCTCAAGGTATGTACATTAATATACATCCATATCAGCCTATAAAAGACCACTTCTGAACTCCCCCATAGATTGCTCCGTAGAGAGGTTTGTGGCGGCGCTGTGGTCGCGCCACAGTCGAAACATATCGAAGCCTAAATCGCGCTAACAAAGTTCCGAAGTTAAAGTAGTATATATAGAATAGCTCCGAACTACTACTCGGAGCGTTGGCCGCTCCCCGGGCGGAACACCTTGCCCGGCGGGAGATCTCCCCTTTTCATTCCACCCGCCACAGGTTTATTTTGCCATAGATGCCACGCTTGGCAGGCGGGTTGGCAACTGTAGTATTTTATTAATTAGAGTTGTTATCAGGAAGATGCTGCTGCCCATCTCCTGTTTCAATTTCCCTCTGACACCTCTTACGACACCCACGGGACGATATGAGTTAGTGGATATTCTTACACCGCCACTAAACGGCCTTAAAGGTGCCTATGTACTTACTTTATTTTTATCACATGTTATGTTCATAACCGAAAAAGAATTTGATACAGTCAACCCAAGGTGATGATAATAGCAAGTGTCCTCTGTTTGAGGGTGCAGTATATGCCAGTTTTAAAATACCCATAGCCGTGTGGTGTTGGTTTTTTTTTATAGGATCGGGTCACAAACGAGCACACAGTCCACCTGATGGTAAGTGGTTACTGTGACCCATAGACATCTACATCTATCCTCAATAAAGAGTCAAGATGCAGATGCGTTGTCACAAGTGAGGACTAAGATTGAATGCCTCTTTGCCAGTAAAAAGGGTCTCCGGTTCTCTACACTCACCATACGAAATACAGCAGCGTTAAGCTGCTATTTTACGCTGATTTTCTGTGAGAGCGTGGTCCTTCTCCGGTCAAGCCGACCAATTCGTGCTACAGCCATAATATAGCTGCAGCATGGCTCTACCACGTAGAAAACGGTGTAAGTAATCCATCACAAAATGTCTTCCCGTGGGTGTAGTAAGCGGAGATTATGGGTTATGCCAGGGAATTCTTATAGCTACCTATAAAATGGAGGTATAATCATTTTGATTAAGTCAGATACGTGGTATATACTTGGTAGAGCATCTCCGCAGCTATATTATGGTTATAACAGCAGTCGACCGGGTAAGAACCATGCTCTCACAGAAAACCAGCGTAAAATAGCAGCTTAATGCCGCTGTGTTTCGTATGATGAGTGTAGAGAACCGGAGAGCCTTTTTACTTGAAACGAGGCATTCCATCTTAGTCCTCAAGGTTGACGCATCTCTTTTTATAGGATACAAACGTGACAAACGAGCACACAGTCCACATGATAGTAAGTGGTTGCGTGACCCATAGACATCTACATCTATCCTCAATAAAGAATCAAAATGCAGATGCGTTGTCACACGTGAGGACTAAGATAGAATGCCCCTTTTCAAGTAAAAAGGGTCTCCGGTTCTCTACACTTACCAAACGAAACACAGCAGTGTTAAGCTGCTATTTTACGCTGGTAATCTGTAAGAGCGTGGTCCTTCCCCGGTCGAGCCGACCCATTCATGCTACAACTATACTACTAATATGGCTCTACCACGTATAATCTGCATTTTGATTCTTAATCGAGGATACATGCAGATGTCTATGAGCCACAGCATCCACTTACCAATAGGTAGACAGTGTGCTCGTTTGTCACTTTTTTTATTAAAAAAAAGATAAAAATTCCCCGAATGGCGACGGTGAGCAATGCCAAAGGTGCGGGAGGTAATGTGAACGTCAATCGGCCAGCCAAGCGAGGCAATTAAGGTACATCCTCCTTACGTCAAGAAAGGCTTATATCCAGCCGTGGACTGTTATGGGCTGATGAAGGAGCAACATCCGTCTTTCGGAAGCTATAAGGTCTTTCTGGCCGTTTCCATATTTAACGATACGTGGTAGAGCCACGCTGCAGCTACTCGTATATTTTGGTTGTGTTGCGGCTGTATCGTGCTCGTTTGTCAGCCTTATTCTATTAAAAAGAAACGCTTAGACATTACGCTTCCGATAGTATAATTGTGATGAATTAATATTTTTAATCAAATATTGATATTTGAATTTTTATACAATGTATAATTAAGTCCCTTGCCTCAGACTGCACGTAAAGCCGTTGGTCCTGCACCTGATCTTTCTACGGTCGTGTCAGAATACAATCCCATCGGACTAAGACAGTGGGAGAATAGAGTGCGGCTGTGCTTGCACATACACTTGGGCACTATAATCGTGTCCTTCGTAGATGGCTAGTCTCTGTTGACCTGCTGTCGTGATCGAAATTCCGTCTGAAGGACATTATTATTATTAATAAATACCCGCAGAAATTGATTTGGAGTGTAAATTTCCGTCGCATTAACAGTCCATTTAATCTTTGTTTATACATTTTTATTATACAATAAAATATCTGATAAACCGCGATAGAAAACTGACCGTAGCTCCGACCTCCAGGTCATTGCGCATTATTATTTGTTTTTAACACTGTCATTTTATCTTTCTCTTCTACCGAATTTGATTGGTAGAATAGAATAAAATATTTTTTATTCAATATAGATTTGCAAGTAATTCATATTGAAAGTAATTTTACACATTTACCACTGGTTCCGAAAAACACATTTGTCCTGGGACGATCGAGTTCTCTCTAATCGGGTCGATTCACTGGCACTGGCACGGGGTGTACTCTGAGGAATTGTTCGAATTAATATCAGCCGCTAAATTTCACCAACGCACTTCGTTGAATACTCACATTACCATCCATATCAGCTGGATGCTTGGCGTTTCACTGCTGTGCTATTTATATTTGTGCGATATGGGGTAATGCTTCACAAATTGAAAGAGTACTGATTTGTCTTTTGTGCAAGAGCCTATTTCCAAAAAGCGAAAATCATGACTGTCGTGTCCTTGTATATTTATAGTTCGCTTCTAGAAGTGCACCAGCAAAAAAGTGAACTATTATTGAAGATGCACGTACACAACTACAATTCAAGAAATCGCGTAAGATTAGTTGTTCCAAGAACCAGATTAGTCAAAGCGTCCAAGCAAGGTTTTCCATTAAAAATCAAAATGTACAATAAATTGCCTTTAGAAATAACAAGAATTCCGAATTGAAACGACTAAGGGACCTTCAAGAAACGAGCTTACTCTTTCTTAAAAGGCCGGCAACGCTCCTGCAATTAACCTGGTGTTGCAGTTGTTCACGCGGGTGTCACCACTTACCATCAGGCTAGCCGCATGCTCGTTTGCCCCCTTTTCTAGAAAAAAAAAAACATGCTTTTTTGGCATTCAAAGCAGTGGACTTGTGAAGGGATGTAATGAATGAAAGAATTAATGAATTGTACATTATGAAAGATTGTACAAAAATTCACAAAACCTTCCTAGGGTTTATTATCAACCATATTCATTTATATTATAATAATAACACTTTTTATACAGTTTTTGTGTCATAAAATATTTAAACTTGATAATAGAGAGACCTTGTTATATTTTATTGTATTATGTGGTAATAGCGTATACATTGCGGCATGAATGAAGTACCGACTATATGGAATGGAGAAACTGGTATCACTAGCTTGTGTTTATTCCTAGTGTTTACATAGTGTACTTATATCACTCTTTTTTATTAAAACTTTTTAGTTTTTGTGAACATACATTAAATTTTTGTAAATATACCGAGAGGCCAAATTTAATATAAATATTATACATAATATACATATATTATGTACACAGATAGACTTAAGCAATATTTAATAATATTATAATAATTGCGCAGATACTAAAACTTAGTGATTATATTCTCTTTGGCGGCCAGCGCTCCCTTCATTTAGTCGTTAAATTAGGTTATTGTCATTAATTTCTAGTGTTTTAGTAGACTTTTTGTCTTTGTCCGTAGGAATTTGCATAGAATTATTAAAGATCTTAAAAACGAATACAATGGATTTCCGCAAAGTAACGCCTGACGCTATTGATTATCTGTAATTATTAACACGGTGTTCATTACCTTCGTTACAGTGCGCATGCTTTTTTAATCAACATCGTCATCTAGATCTTTCCGTTCGTTCCGTTTGTTGTCTATGGGAATGCTCGTTGAGCGATTTATTAATTGAATAGTTAGCGGCGTCACACATCATGTGCTCTCTGATGATGCTGATCAATCAAGAAATAAATATACCGGGAGTATTACATAGCGTTATCTAAAAACTGCTTTTCTGCCGACTTCCAAAAAGGAGACGGTACTCAATTCGTCTGTATGTTTTTTTATGTGTGTTACCTCACAACTTTTTACTGGGTGAACCGATTTCGATGATTCTTTTTTTTATTTGAAAGCTGGTACTTCTCGTGTGGTCCCATATGAATTTGATCAAGGTCAGACCAATAGTTTTTGAGTTATTCTTAATAACTTATATTGAGTCGGCTGTACAAAATTTTAAATTATAGATGACCTAATTGTGCCATATAGAAGTAATTTTTAGATTTTTAGAACTAGTTCGTAGGACTCCTTTGATTCCGTATTCCGTATGTGTAGGTATTTTTTTTTAAATACTAATAATACTATTAACCATTACTAATATTCCCTTTCACCACTTCTGGTAAGCTTAAAATGCTTTTGTTAGAAGTGGTTCACGACAGTAGTCGAATGGCGGATTCGAACCCACGACCTTTCGAGTTCGCGGTCCGTGCCCTGCCATTAGGCTACTGACGCTTCTAAAACTGACGCTTCTCTTCACGCTTCTATTTCTGCCGCCGAACGGGTACAGGCTGTGAGGTAGTACATCTTAGTCCTCAGAGATGACAACGTATCTGTAGCCTTTGTTTGAAGTTTTTTTTTTAATAGGAAAAGGGTGACAAACGAGCACACAGTCCACCTGATGGTAAGTGGTTGCTGCGGCCCATAGACATCTACATCTATCCTCTATTACAAATCAAAATGTAGATGCGTTGCCACCCGTGAGGACTAAGATGGAATGCCTCATTTCCAGTAAAAAGGACTTCTGGCCACCTGCA